TGTCTGTCTGTCTGTCTATGGGCTATATTTAACATTTCGTTTTCAAGTGCCACTCGTGGGTTTCCTGTAAAACCAACGTCAAACGTATAGCCACCTTTCTTGACTCATCCTGTACTTTAAGCACAATTGAATATGGTTAATTCAAACCCGCTATAATTTCCTTTTAAATTAGTTAAATAAATATGGTTATGATTACATATTGATTATGTGCGTGTTCTATAAATACTCGAAACGTGGAAGAAATTGTCACATGTTTTACAGTTCTGGTGGCATTTGCTCTAAGGATAAGAGGAGTCTACAAGATTCGGGATAAACCAAGGATCTTACCCGCTATTTTTCAGACAATGCCACTCAATTTACTTTTAGTTACCTAATCTTTCTGATTGCTTTGGCATCGAGGAGATGTTGCTGCAGCATCCTCTAAATAATGTGGGTAAACAAATTGGAAGGGTGCAAAGCAGCGTTAGGTAGTAGAAACTGTGCTGTAGTGTGTACTATGTACGGATCACATATAACCTGTCGAAAATATTAAAAAGGAGCGGATTATCGGAAGTGGCAGTACTCTAATCCCTTAGAGCCGGATTATCGAACTTCTACTCTACCATTGTAAAATTAACTTATTTTCGAGTTACTACATGGAAGTTTGGTTACGCTTCATTCAGAAAGCGGGTCATTCACCTCGATGACTTAACAAAAATATAGAAATTATTGCTGACTCTCGTGTCAGTAAAATTAGCAAACAGATTATTTGCTGAATAAGCCTATTTGCTTCCACAAATATTTCATTGTAAATGAACGACGTTGCACTGCTTACTCAGCACGGTATTTGATCGATATAAAGGCTATCCTGTCTTATAGAATTGTTTTAAAATTTAAAAACTCGATCAAAGTACTTCCCGTATTTATAATAGAATTTTAAATCATAAATGTGTAAAACAATGAATGGATTAATTCCTGTTTATTCCTATCACGTCAACGCCCAACACAGTGAACAAATGGGAATGACTGGCTATTCGGGTGATTTCATTGACAGTATTATTCATTCCTTTATTAAGTCGTAACAAACGTGCATGAACACGTGATGCTTCTGTTTCTAGTGTGATCGTTTTGTAAACTTTTGCGTCAATCTGAGGTCATTACTACACGTTTTTAATGGAGAAACGAAGCGGTTAAAGGTTCATCTATCGCTCTGGAGGACCCGGAATCAAATCCCAGAATACGATGGTATGTTCCGGATACTCAGTGGTTCCATCCCTCACCACCCCATTGTGGACGTAGCCAAACCCACAGAGGGCCTAGAAAGAAAAGTACCTCAGCACCCAAAAGAATATAAACATCTATCAAAAATATCCTATGAAGATGTGGGATGCTTCTAGTTGGCAAGCGGCTATACAAGCAAACCAATACATTAATTAAATTATTAAATGAAACTGAGTGTACGATAAACATGGGCCAGTTTTCTACAGAAAGTGTATAACTGGAGTCTTTAACGCTCGCGTGCACCATACGTATTCACAAATAAATTGTGATTCGCGGAATAATAAGTATGAACAGTGCCATAACTAGGGCGGTGCCCAGGCACATAAAAGCAGGCCCGGCGCACCGGGCGCATAAAAGGCTAGTTACGGCGCTACATATAAGTATACCAAACTTATCGGGCAATTATCGGTTGCCGGATTAACCAACTTCTTTTATTATTTAAGTGTATATTTAATTTAAATTGAATACAAAATGGTGGGAGCGCTGCCTAGTAAAGCAAACCGATTACATCAACTGTTTCATTAAAAACAGGCCACGTCATTGGTTTTCCTAGTCAGCCTTTTACTAACTTGTAAACAATGTGCCCATTTAGAAGACAAAATTACAAAAATAAAACTGATGATGTGGTACCAAAGAGGGTACCTGTGGATGGAAATATAAATTAATGGGAAATTACATCTGCAAATGAAAATCTGCCAAGAGCTTTCCAGAAAAACTAGCCAAAATAACAAGAGGGGGTGGCCGTGTTCCCGACCAGATTTTCAACGCTGACGAAACATAAGGGAAGAAAATTTTCGTCATTTCTTAACTATTTCTCATTCAAAACACAGTGTAATTTATTTCATCTTACACTTATTTTTTTTTTAATAACTATGAACGTATCTTCTATTTTACTATAGTAAATGCATCTTTTTTTGCACGGTTTTTGAGAAACGTATCTTCCTTGTAAAAAAAAAAAGTGTTGGGTGTACAGTAAATTCGACTGTCTTTCGCTTGCCATCCATATTAATCTTAACAAACGAAACCGGATAATACAGATTACTTCACATTACTAATTACATTTGTTACCCCTGCTTATTCTGCACATCAATTTCTACAAGTTTTCGTAACACACCAAACATCAAAATCGTCCATTATCCGCAATCCACGTATTTCTAGCTATTGTTATAAGACTCAACTTACCATTTAAACTTGTATCGAATAACAGGAAAGATGAGACATTCCCCTTCTTCCACCTCTCGGATGCTGTATGGCATTTCAATTTTAGGATTGTTCGATGTACCATTTAATCACGCAGCTAACTAGCATCCACGTGGTCTACTAGAAGAAAATGTCTCCGTATGCAAATCATCAAAACACGTGATAATACGCTCTCAACGAGCGCCAAAAATTCTCCGGAATATAGAAACCATTTGCAATTATCTTGCACAAATAGTCATAATTTAAATTAATATTCGTATAGAAAGAGAGATTAGAAGATAAGGTAATCATTCTTCACTCCCTATGATCCTGTATGTAAATATTGCAGCCAGAGATGAAAAGTAGGATACACCTGGCCCTGTTGTATAAAAATTACAAGTATTATAACTTATTACAAAGCTTTTTATTCTTGTAATTTGTAAAACTTGTATAGTAGTTAGCATTATTTACAACAGGACTCTGGAGATCAAACTTGGATTTTCACCTTAGCAAATCAATACTTTGACAGACAAGCAGAACTTTTCTATTTATATTCAAAATGTATGTTAATTGTGTACTTTAAATTTATATTGAACTTCTACAGACTATACCAAAAATTTGATTTTAATATATTTTTTATTAACAAATTTTGTAGAAAATTACGAAAACACGACCAAAGTAGACTATCTTAAGACAAAATTTTATTATGCAGAACAAATACTTAAAAAAAGAAATCACAAATTGTGTGTCTCATCTTCATGAATTTGTTTTAAATAAAAAATTCAGTACAAATTTTTTTATTATTACAAATTCACTTTTAGCCAATTTTACTACAAAATCAATGTTACAGTACTTATAAAATCTATAATACTGTTTCATTCAGAAACCCTACCAATCTATTGATTGTCTATATTCCACCTAGGATGCATGATTGATAAAATCCCATCAAAGTTGTTTCACTAATAGCCATAATTTGAATATCATAATACTATAAAACAAGCAATGAAGAGGAATGTTTTTGAAAAAGAACACTTGGCCCAACATTTTGCAAGTTACAAAAATTAATATTTATACACTACAAGTTTTGATATGGTGTATATAAAAAAAATAAACAAGAGAGAAAATGCACGAAACAAAAAGAAAAAACAGTATACAAATGACCAGTATTTACAATTTCTATTTTTGTTATGGACGACTATGATTGATGTTTTATCACAGCTTTCTTCTTTCCTTCCTTCAATAAAAGCATTCTGTATAATTATCGGGAATGTGCAACATGTCTTGCAGTTTTTTAATTTAGAATACTGAAAGTCTGTATGAGATCTTTAAACTGCGTCGTACCGTGCGATTCTTTTCGCCGCATCGTCGATCGCCACGGGAGTCTCCAGACAGCTAGTAATTTATGCTCCGGGCATTGTGGCGAAGAGCTCCCGACAGACGTGGGTACTTGCTGCAGATTATTTGTCCTGCCAACTTCTCTTCCTGCTTCCCCTATGTTTTATAGTCAGTCTATCCGCTCGTGACTATGTTCTTAATTATACTACACTTTCGGATTGTAAAGGAATATCGTCGCTTGGAGCCGGAAGAGCATCTGCCGTATTCATAGAAACTTTCCCGCAAGATACCTGACTTTCGCTGTGACTTAAACCGGCGACGTGTGTCTGACGAAAGTTACTAGAGACGATACTCAGACTCTTCTTGTATAAGAGACGGTTTTCTTCGGTGGCCGGTCCCCATTCAGGTGACGGGCGCAAATTAACCAAAATTCTCTGTAGAGATAAATAAATATTAAATGTAATTCATAATAAAGTTATGAATTGCATAAAAGTCATTATTATTTATAAATACCTGAGACAGAGATCCTTTAGATTTGTAAATCTGGATACCAGCAAATAATGGAATGGGAATCAGAGGAAGAACAGCCATCATCCATCCCAAAGCAATTGACCAATCGGGATATTCATAATCATTGTATGTAACCGGTGAGTGGTTGATTACAATGAAGATAAGTAAACCCTATAATTCAAAACACAAAATTTTTAAATTTAGCAATGCTATTAAAATGTAAATAAAGGAGTAAATAAAAAATGTAAATTTTTTATTTACTCCTTTATTTCGTTTTTATTTATACAGTTTTTACTTTTAATGATTCCTACACTTTCTTTAATATTTCTGTTGTGTGTTCCTGTTTCTCTATGTAAAATTTTTATATTATTTTGGTCTATATTACAGTCAGTGCAGTGATCGTGGAAGGCAGAGTTCAGTTTGTAATATTTCAGATCTGCTAAATGTACTTTAAGACTCACCTTTAATTTTCGTTTCGTTTTTCCTGTGTAGAACTTGGTAGAATTACAGATACAAGGGGTCTTGTATACTACGTTTTTTGTTTCTTCTTGCGGTTTTTTCTTTTTCTTCGTTGCTTGTTTGGCTTTGATTCTACACGAAAGTTTTTCGTATTTTGGCGAGAGTTTTATGTTGATCTTTCTTGTTTCTTTGTCTATTTCTTCGTACAATCCTTTGATATAAGGGAAACTGATTTAGGCCTATTTCATTTTTGAGTCTTCTTTTTGTTCTGTTTTGTGAATCTTTCGGCTGTTTATCTTTCTTTCCGATGCATTTATTATTCTGTTTGGGTATCCATCTAAAAGAAATTTCTTCTTTAATTCACTCATATTTCTTTGTATGCTAGTATTTTTGCAGGTTCTATTTTTTATCTTACTATATTCCACGTTAAATACATTTTGTTTTATATATAACAGTATGTTTGAATTAGGGGAGATCGGGGCAACTTCGGCATGCGGGGCAAGTTTGTCAAGCGCTTTTTTTAAAAAACAAATTAAAAGGAGACTTTTGTTATAGGTTAGGCAGTTGAGTTTTATTGGTGGCTTGTTGAGTGTAGTGTTTTTATTGTTCTNTTATTTTTTTTAATTACAAATCCCTCTGTGAATGAAAGTCTAAAATCTAAGAGGTACCTCTTGTACTGAAGCAGCAGAATCAGCGATGGCAACTCTGCACCAGTTAGTACTATGACCCGTCCATCACATACTGTGCTTTCCTGTCTGCTATAATAGCATGGATTTCAAAATTTCAAATTACAAATCGAGGCTTTTAGAGCTTTATTAAATATGTAAAAAAAAATTTTTTTTTATGTATAATTTTGGTCTATTATAGGAACTGGAAAACACAGTTATTTCATATCTTCTTTGGAAGGTCAAAAGCTGCTGGAAAGCAAAAACCAGATCATTCATTTTAACAACAGGACAAAGAAGTATCAGCAAAACGTCAAGAATAACAAACTTGTATAAAGGTTCCAGTCGATACGTATGGTGTCTCTAAATTAAAATAGAGACAGCATTTAAGGAAAAACGTTTACGAGAAAATAAAAATTACGGGTGGATTTTATTCGCTTCAAAATCAACACTCCAGAAATTTCTTGACGTAATGCTAATAAAATTATTGGGAGTAACACACACAAAACAGGACAAACAGTTTTCTTGCTTAAGATTAAGGCAGAATTTTAAAATATATTGCTAAAATATTTAAACTGTCAAGTTCTAATATTACTTTGCAATATTTCGTATAGTTTTGGATTGTTATTTACGGCAAAATTAACAAAGTATATTTTTTAATCCCGTTTTTGATATCAGAATTTTGATTTTTTTTATTATATTTTTGAAGAAAATATAAATTTTCTGCCTTAAAAGTGAACAAGAGAATTGGTTGATGAAATTTTAGGTTTTTAAATAAGTTTTTTTTTTTTGAATTTTTAAAAATTTTTCCAGAATTTCATTTGATTCTCCTTTAAATTAATCCAAATTTCAAATAAAAGAAGAATTGTTTAATTCTTTTTGGATCGGCGAATTGCATCAACCAAAACACGGAAGGGCCACACATTAAATTTTAGAAAAAAAAACATGGATTTTGAATACTTTTAAGAAAAATCTCATTTGTTATCATTTAAATTTATTTTAAATTTGTAAAATAAAAATCGATTAGAGAGAGTGTGGCCCTTGATTTATTTTAAAATTACAGACTAGTTTTCTCCGTGATACACTTCACAAAATAAAATCATTTAAATCAGAATAACTCTAATAGTCAACATAAAACATCTGGAATTAATTAGACTAAACTCTCAATATGCTGACGGCCCCATTTAATTGTTGCAACATCCATTCCTTTTGCTGCAAACTCCCAGCATTAGCCCCCTCTCAGCCTACACCTCCAAATTTTCTCATGCAAAACCTACACCACACAGATTACGGTAAGCCATTCATTCATTTTTCAGCTGCAGTGTAGGCAGAAAGCACAAGGCCACAGCATGGGGAAGCTTGCAAAACAATCTAACGATTTGTGCAAATTGTAACCGAAATAAAATCAAAAAATTAGCAGAGAGTCTACGTGATTTACATGCAGGTGTGCAAATGAAAAATCTTTAATAAATAATTATATATTTCAATTTTAAATAATCGATACAATCTAGCTAAATTAAAATCTAGCAAATTGCACGCAACGCATATATTGAATGAAGTGACCATTGGTAACTAAAGTTCTCTCTCTCTCTTTTTGTTTTATTTTTTGTCAAGATCTTATAAATTTCAATTAAAAAATAAATGTAAATCATTTATACATTTACAAGAAAGCAAAAAAACGTTGGAATTATTAAACTTAATAACCAATGATCAACCTCAGTGTGCTTTAAAACACGGGATGCATTAGTGTACCTAGCGGCCCGAACATCAAGATGCACAATAAGCACCGGAACTTTAATAGGGAAAAACAAAAAAAAAACTTAAATAGCAACAAATTTGCTAAGATCTTAAACGGGATCTCCGAAAGTCTGTTTAAATATGCATATCTCATTCATGCAACATAAAGCGAATACACACTCCTGTTACTCCAGTCACACCAGACAGACTTCGGCTCTCCACTTCTTTTAGTTTTACTTTTACTCGAGGCTAGGTACTCCGAAGCAATAATATACCAATATTTTGTGGACAACACTTAACTACTGAGATAAAAAGATGGTTAACACAAGTTACGCTTTAGTGGTAGAAGGCTCCCTTCTATGCTGCTGCTGCCGCCCAGATCTTCCAGGCGCTCCCAACCAACAGAGGGCCTGACTAACAAAATGTTTAAAAATACAATACACATTTAACCCCTTGTAATATTTGCTTGCCCAATTTTTTGTCATCATAATCCCATTAAATAAAAATATTATCATTACGTACATCAATTAAAACAAATTATTACAGCAAATTAAATATTCGTACACATTTTTTACTGCGAGATGTCTCGAAAAGGTTTTGACTGCAAATCTATATTTTTAAAGCAAAATTAAATATATTTAAAGCTTTAAAATTTTGAATATTTTAAAAAATTAGTTCAAGTTTTTAAACAATTATACTAGATATTTAAAATTTNCAAATGAAAAATCTTTAATAAATAATTATATATTTCAATTTTAAATAATCGATACAATCTAGCTAAATTAAAATCTAGCAAATTGCACGCAACGCCGCAACATAACATCAGGGAAAGACAGCACACCTTATACATCCTCGCACACTGTTTTTTGATAATTACAAATAATTAAAATTTAATATTCAAAAAGGTATAATAAAATAACAGCAGGAATTGGTGTTGCATTAAATAATTGGACATACCCTATCAACTATTTAAAAATTTCAATGAATTGTGATATAGCCAGATGAAAAAATTTTTAAAAAATGAATAATCATTGATTTTTATTAAAATTATTTAATTAATAATTAATTAATTTAAAAGCATTTTACTGTTAAAGAAATTTAAATCTGGTCAATCTGGCTGTATCACTAGGGCCTTTGTGTTTACAATATGATTGTAAATAACTGCATGAGAATTAAAGCACTGATCAATTTCAGAATGCTATGTTTCTCCATTAGAGCTGAATACCTATATTAAAAAAAAAAACAAATTTAAAACGTGATTTAATTAAAATTAAAAACATTATTCGAATTAATAACTGGCAAGAAAAGTTTCTTTTTGACAAATTTAATTACTCCTATCGAAGTGAAGTGTTTCATTGGGAAAAGAAAACATAGCCTTAAAACAGAAAGCATACATAATAGATTAAAACTAAATAAATTATTAAATAAACAGTTACCTGACTATCTAAACCAATTGTAAAGAGCATGAAAAAGAAGAGTAAGGCCCATAGTGGTGACAAAGGCAATCTTGAGACTGCCTCTGGATACACCACAAAAGCCAATCCTGGGCCTACAAAATAAAAAAAATCAGTTTTTAGCAATAAAAAACTTTTAAATTGGTGATATAAGTCTAGTCTAAGAATGCAATATACCTTGAGAGACTACTTCTTCAATTGGTTTACCGGTTTCATATGACATATATCCAATAATAGAAAATACTACCAATCCAGCAAAGATGCTGGTAGAACAGTTAATGATTGGAATAAGCAGAGAATCTCTGAAAGAAAAATTATTTATTTAACATCTTGTGAATAGATTATACATACAAAATTAAACAAATCTCTAATAAATTTTTCAAAATTGATGGTAATATATTAAATAGTAATTGCCTACCTGTAACAATTATTACTGAATCTATTGTAGCTGGCCATTGTTAAAACTGCACCCCAAGCTGCACCTACAGAATAAAATATTTGAGTAGCAGCATCGCCCCAGACCTGTAATGGAAATATTAATGACATGTTATTTTACATAAAATTTAAAAACAAAATTGTTGCGAGATGTTAACGTATACCGAACCTTGAAAGACATCAGAAGCTCCCAACGAGGAGTTAAATAAAACACAATTCCTTTCCAAGCTCCTGGTAAAGTGACTCCACGAATAAGAAGAATTACTAACACAATGTAAGGGAATGTAGCAGATACATAAACCACCTGTCAAAATTTTATTCTATTTTAATTATTGAGAATTGTATATGTATTTTATGTAAATAATTATGCATTAAATGTTTTTAATATTTATTGTTTTAATTTTTAAATAGTAAACTATTGATATGAAGTAGAAGAGAGTAAAAATATTATCTCATTGGAAAAACATGTTAAATGAACATAGAAATTACAAATTTAACTGTTTTATAGGTCATCTTAAGATTTTTTTTTTTTTTTTTAACTTTTTCTACTCTATGTAGTGGCACAATATCCTACGGGAAATTGCCCAGCACCCCTAAAGCAATCTTTTATTAGAAAACTTTTCCTCAAAAAATTCCCCCAAAGAAAACTGAAGTCATTATTGTACATGGGCCCCTTTAATTCAAATTTTCCTGGATTCCATGAAGCTATAACACATCTCTGACTCTGGACACTAAGAGAACCTTCTTAGCATTGGTTTAGCCAGGCTCAATGGAGCAGTAGCAACAATCAGGTCCTGGCATATCTAAACAGATCATCTGGGTTTTTGACCCATCCGCAAGTCCTCCAGAGCACAAGGCTGCCACCTTAACTGCCAGGCCATTCGGCCAACTTCAGATTATACATTTTTGGAACTTTTTGAAAAAAAGATTATTCTTGTAAGTTCCAAATTTATTTGAATCTAAGACAGCTTAACTTCTACATGCTCACCTACAGAAATGCAGTCAAATTTATGTCAGTATAACAGTATTTATTGAAGTAAAGTTACTTATATATCATTATTATATAGTATCAGAATCGGGAAACCTTTTCATTTGCCACGTTAAGTCTTATGAATTAACACTAACATAGTTTTAGTCAGAAGAAAAACTAATACTTAGGAATGTTATATACATGTAACTTTAGTTTTTGTTTTAATAAAGTAAAACAAAAGTGCCATTTAAAGCATTGAAGATACAGAATTACTCAGTGCCACACAACATTTTGTGAAATTTTCATCCAAGTACTTACAACATTACTTACTATAATAGACTGAAAAGACTTGAGCTAAGCTAACCTCTTAAATAATTTCTACTACTAATGTTGGTCTAATAAAATCATTGAAATGATATAATAAAACTTGTGACAGAAATAAGACATGACACTTGAAGTTACTAATTAGGGACACATTACATCAAATGCAAGAATCATCTTATTTTCAGAGATAGTAAAGCCTGAAAAAAGTGCATCTTACATTCAAGTAAAAGCAGGAAACTCAATTATATACAATATGTTATTTGTGAAAAATGAAAACAAAATTATGGCCCTAAATTATATAAGTTTTACAATTTTATATTGTCTTTATTATTATAAAATACTAAAAACTATGTTTAAATCAATACAAACCTTTCCCGATGATTTGACTCCTTTCATTAGACATAGAAAAACAACTACCCAAGCAATAAAAAGAGTAAGCACCAATGGCCATTGGACTTCTCCTAAATCATGTATACCAGATGTCAGTCGTAAAACATACTTTCTGCAAAAATAATTGATTGATTACTTTTCGTTCACATAAACAATTATTTTTTGTAAGATTTATCAAACTTACACCCAAAATTCTTCGCTAGATGTTATTCTATCATTATTGACTTCGAAATTCTTAATCGTCTCATTAGCCGCGACGGTACCATTAATCAGTACGGAACTATTCGTAATTCCGGTGCTATTTAACGACGCGGTTGGATCGTAATGACGATCGACACAATTTGGTGTATTCCACCAATTATTACAAGTAGACCATGGCAAAAGAGATGTCAATGACTGATAGATGTAGTATAGAGTCCAGGCAATAATGACATTGTAATAAATACACACTATTCCAGATATTATCACCATACCATAGCCTAAACCTATAAGCAAAACAAAACTTAGTTTATCCTTAAATTTCAATTACTGTTTTGTAATAAAAATATATGATTATTTTTTAATGCTTTTACCTTTAAATAATGGTGATATTTTCCATATTGCTACAGGGCCTAAACTGGCAAATTGGCCAAAGCTCAATTCAAGGAAGAACAAAGGCATCCCACAGATAACCAAGAATAGGATATAGGGAACTAAAAATGCTCCTGGAATTAAAAATTTATACATAAGTTACACGTTCAATTTAATTTGAAAAAAATATTTAAGAAAAAAAATTACCTCCTCCGCTTCGATAACAAAGATAAGGAAATCTCCAAACATTTCCCAATCCGACGGCATAGCCTACGCAAGAAAGGAAGAAGTCTAATTGTTTCCCCCAATTTCCCCGTTCATAGTTTTCTCCATTTCGGCTGCTTCCTTCGCTGGAGGTGGACTGAGTGTCGTCGGGGAGAGGAAGAGGGATCGATACCTGATTAGTGCAACCTTTAGAAGGCTCTAATTTCGGCAAGAGACTTCTATCATCCATAGGATCATTGGAGTTTTTATCTTTTATATGATGTCTAGACTGTTTTTAATTAAAATAAACAATATTTAGTCAAATTCATATACTTTTTTTAATAAAATAAATGTAATTTAACTTATATTAAAATGTTTAATTTCCTTTATTATAAGTAATTTTTATTTCAATAATGATAGNTATATATATATTTTTAAAGTTAAAATAATAAATTAAAGTACTTTAAATCAACTATTTTATTTTAAAAAAGAATTTAAATATTTATTTATTTTTTTCAAACAGAAAGCGATTGTTTATTTATTTAGACCTAGTTTTGTATACAAAATAACGTAAAAAGGAATCTTGCACACCCCCCTTCCAATTGTTTATTCCGAGTTTATTCACATTTAACGGATTGGATTGAAACTTTTTGCTTTTATAAATAATAAATTGTGTATTAATTAAACGTCTCTCTCTCTCTCTCCCTCTCCCTCTCCCTTTAACGTTCCTTCTGACCTAATTTAATTCCCGACGTATCGTAATTAAATCTAAATGTTGTCGTAAATAATAGCAATTATCCTCCGATAATTCCGTTATTAATATTTTATTGTTGATAAATAATTATGTAGACAATGTAAAAATTATCATCCTTCATCTGTAATTCGCCACGTACTTGTAAATTAATTAATTATACAGAGATTGATAAGTTCATAAGCCAGCGTTATAAACGTGAAGAATAAATTACATGCGGACTTCTATTTAACGTACCCCTTTACGAGTTTTGTTATATATAATTTCCAGACACTTAAAACTGCTCGTAGAAATTACCCGATATCTTTAATCGCTCCTAAAATACAGGGAAAGTTCGGAAATTTAGGGTAATTACACCAGAAACTTGGAGGGGAGAATGAATTTACTATTAGGCCATCGTAGACGTGTTTTTATACCGGTGGCGCGTTATCATATGGGCAAAAAAGGGGCAATTATGAAGGGGAAACAAAATATACGCAAACAATACATAGACGACATAGCACAGCACACTTACAATATTACAAAACACACTTATAACATATACAAAATTACATACACGTAAAACAATACACAAAGAAAACAACTGACAAAACAACACTAACACAATTACATACACAACATTTTAACATTGGTGGGAATTCCTGCCTGCAACACTGTATTTTAATGGAATGAAATCAAATGACACCACTAATTTTTCTCATAATCTTGTGAAAATCTTAATGAGATAATCATGTTTTATTTAATCAGAAGATCGTTTAAGAATATTTATTTTAGAATTAGCATTGACTTGATTTAAGTCACCTCGTACGAAAATAAACAATCGTTAAAAGGTTTTCATTTAAAGGTTTTTAATCCATTTAGAACCTGAAATTAAATTAATTAAGATGTTAAAATATAACGTATAAATAATATAATTAACGGTATAAATGAGCCTCTAAGACACTCGAGAATTAGTTACACTGTAAATGAAAAATATAATTATTAATTAATCAGCTTAATATGGCAAACCTGCGAACAACGGACACCGAAGAAGAATATAAAAAGTGGCCGTTTGTCCTTTTATATGTAACACGCAGTTTAGATCATAATTTTATCAATAATAAAGTTTTGCATTGCATCGTATACAGGTCGAACCTCCGATAACGGCCACCTCTAAACAGCGGACATTTTTTCAGGATTTCTTTTTTATTTGGAAAAAAAAAAAATGTATACAAATGAACCTTCAATAGCCACTTCTAAACAGCGGCCAGTTTTTATGTTCACGTCAGTGGCCGTTGTTCAGAGGTTTGACATTAAGTTTAATATTAAGTTCTGTCATTTAATTAGTAAGAAACTTCAATATAATATATCATAGTTTCATAATTTATTACTTAATAGAGGACTTCAGTAATCAATTATTCTTTATATAGAAGCTTATTCAATAAGTGACTTTCAGCTTTCTATTAACAGAATATTGAAAGTAAATTGGAATTATATGATAAATCAATATTATTATATATAAAAAATAAAGTAAAATTTATACTATTTACATACATTATCAGAAACAACTTTATTTTATAATTAAACAACGCATTAAAATGGTGTTATAGATAATTTTTATTTTAAATATTATTTTCCCGGCTGTTATATAACAGAGGGAAAGTATGCCCCAAAGATTTTTACTTTTTTGAATTCAGGGTAACTTGAAACGTACAAAAAATGTTGGGGTTTTTCGATGTATGGATGTTTGTGTATAGAGGCACAATTATATTCCCCTCTTTTAAAGCTTAATAACTCGCGTGCCTTTTGTCTAAATTTTCTGAAATTTTGCATGGAGTTTTGCCTACTAGGGTGGAACGTTTCCAGAAATTTTCAGGGAAATCGGACGGTTATTTCGGGAGATATGGCCCCACTTCCTTAATATCTCCGGTACTAATCTGAAGGTAATGGTTGCAATTAATAGAAGATGAAAGCAAATAAAGTCTGGCTTTTAATATATATTATATTACTTAAAATATATTTTTATAGAATAAAAATTATCTGTAACATTAATGAATTAAATTCAATAAAATGAAGTTCTTTATGAGAATGTCTATTGTACACGTAAAGCAATTGTTGAGAAATTTCCTTGTTACGTAAAAAAATAATAATAAGGAATTTTCTAAAAATACTTCATATAAAAATTTATAAAGATAACTTATAATAATTAATTATATAAATATTTATTTATAAATTATTTTATATTCCTTACAACATTCGAGCTGTAATTAAATTCTTTCCTGTAATCAACAGAAAAAAAACCTGTTTAAAGCGGAAACCTGCCAAATCGGATGCCGTGCGAGTCCGGTTTACGCAGGTTTCGCTATATTATATGTAGTAATGTGTTGTACTCACAGTACATTACTACACAGAGAAATATTTATAGTATAGTAAAACCTGCGTAAACCGGAATCGTACGGTGTCAAATATTCTTTCCGTTTTGGCAAGTTTCCATTTTTTAACAGGTGTTTTTCAACATAGAAAATCACTCGGTTTCGAAGAATTTTTCCCGTTTAGACAGGTTTTACTATGTATAAACTGTAGTGTATATTAGTATACTATACAGTATAGTAGTGTAGTATAATACTATAAATAATACTGCAATAAACAGTAACTCATTGTAACATTATTAATGCCGATATTACAAATACGTGTGCCGTTCACAGCTCGGCATACGTATTTGTAAAATCTAAGTGACTCGTACAACATGGAATTCATATAAAACGGAATTATCAACAGTGTTATAGGAGGGTCGAATTGTAGTGTGCAAAAAAGAAAAGCATACATTATAAATATAATTGTGGTTTTCATTAACTTGTCATTGCTTAACAAGCGAATATTTTAAAAGATTTCGAAGTATACCTAATTACAAATCAATACTGTTCTTAGAAACTTTAAGGTTATCAGCATTAGACATCTTACTACACTGTGCAGATAACTGTCGACGGGTGGTGTAATATGAATTACCCCAGTAATAGTAATTACAAAAAACAAATTGCTGATACGTTTCAATGTCAACGGAACTAAAGCTTGTCTTACGTTACAGGAAATTCGGTTGATAACGCTTTCATATTAAATGGAAAAAATTTCAACGGATGTTGTGCAGACGTCTTTCTGGAATTTCGGATTGATCCATACCAATTAATGATTAAGGAGAAACTTAGGTAAAAAAAGTTCCCTCACCCCTAATTTAAAAAGTGTAAACGTATGATTTTACACTTATTCTTGTTAAAAATCGTAGAAAAAATTTAAAAAGGGATTAATTATATAATTTTTTTTTAAGGTACTTTATTGTAATAAATTATGAATGTAAACTGGATTGGATTGGTGGGATACGGAAAAGCAACACGTGGGTGACCTGCTGAGGACGGTCACCCCCCTTTGGCAGGTCACCCACGTGTTGCTTTCCGTGTTGCACCCATGTGTCGCTTGAGGGAGGACTTTCTACGGAAAACTGGCACCTATTTAGGAATTATACGCGTTGAGAAACCCCCAAAAAAACTCCACGTGGTCGGGCACATGTTTCGCTCCCGGAAGATCTCTCTATGGAAAGTTGGGCGCCTATTTAGGAATTAGACGAGTGATAATACCCGGAAAACTCCGCGTAATTAGGTACGAACTCGCTACTAATATCTTTCAGTAGTTTTATCCACTGATGGACTGGTGTAAAGTGTAATAATTTCTTTTTTTCTAAGGGCACTTTCGAATGTTTTTAATGAATTTTATCAATTTAACTTTACATTTTATAATGAAAATTTCATTTCTGTACATCTTGTACGAGAGAAGACCTTTAATCTAATACGTTCGGTACTCCGACATCTCATTAAAGTAGTCAATAGTCCGGAATTGTCCGGTAATCCGGCATGCTAGTTTTTGGCCAATCGGAAATTGTTTGGTCAAACACGTGACACGCTAAAGGACTCTGGTAAAAATACGTGACTAGAAAATAGATAATACCTGTACATTTTGATCGGAAATTTCAGATAAAAACCCGGAATTTCCTGTAATCCGGCACGACTTTGGTAGAAGCCGGATTAACGAACTTTCTACTGCAGTTAAAGGCTTCGTGTTGTAATATGAAGCCTTTGTGAATTACTAAACGTACGATTTTTTAAATTACTTCGGTTTAGCACCACACTCGATTCATTATAATTCCAGTTTCAGAATGGCGCTAAATCGAAGTTCGACTATATTTTTAAAAGTTAAAGTAAGACCAGTAAGAATTTTAACAACGATCTTTAAATGGCATTATTATTTTTATAGTAACAGATATTTCTGAATTCCCTGATGAATTATACGCAGTAACGAGGTCTAAACGTAAAAACGATGTTTGAAAGTCATTTGCAATGTATTTAGTAATTCACAGACACCAGAGAATTCGTAATATTTATGGATAAAATCCATTCACTGGTATACTTTAGTGCTTTACGTAGATAGCGCTATTTGCGGGGATGCTATATCGAGACTGGCTTTATAATCCAGAAGTATTCTACGAACTTCCAGTAACAAACGGATGTCATATTTTTTCCAGGAACTTTTTATTTGAAT